AGAGTAGAGTGATGACTATTAATGAAAGCTTCCTGCTTGACTTGTAAACTAGTAAAAGAATTAAAAGCCCCAAAAAGCTCACAAGAGAACTCAGGGTGTGCTGGTCTAGTCTGCTGCTCCAATCGTACTAAATCAAAACAAGCATAGATCTTCACAGAGAAAGGGAAAATATACGAGTAGTGCTTTCAGAATAGGCATTTGCAGTCAGGATATTTCAGACAGATCCTGAGGATTTATTTTTAGCCCACTTCAATAAATTCACAGTTAACATCAGATTCTTCATCTGTATGAGTCTATTTGGAGACTTCAGGTTTATACTGAGCACTTGACCCGTTTTCAGGAAACTCAGTCTTGTTTTCTGTACAAACTCCAAAGCAGGGTTCCTCAAACCTTTTGCTAGTGCATCCCTTTTTTGGGATGCCTTCTTCTCGAAGTGTCTATACAAGCCGGGAGGAAAGCTACATTTAACTGCTGACAGGACATCAGCCACAGCAAGGTGGGCACTGGGCTCAATTGCAATCCTAACCATAAATGTAAAGATGCTCTTTATATTTAAGGCTGCTCTTCTTTGATCCCAGATCCTGACATGGTCTTATTCAGTAGGACAGCAGTGGAGAGATTCTGTGACCTAGGGAAAAGTGCTAGAGAAAACATCCTGGTGTTTGTAGAAGCCTGCAAAGAGAAGCACTCCGGAGCGCCGGCACTTAGAGGGAAGGCACTGCAGTATTTAAAGATGTTATTTTATAACTCCCTCCGGGCTGCAGATTAGATCTACAATTTAGATGTGTTAGAGATGGGAAATTTTAAAGCAAGAAGCTAACATTTATGAACACACAAAAAAAAAAGCGTCATTGAACTACTCATCAGAGGTGGTTTAATGAACTAGGAAGAGATTTTCAGCTTTACGGTAGATATCTCTATAGTAGGGCTATGTTTGTTAAACTTGCATTCAATTTGTCCTGGGCATAATCCCACTGACACAAGGCACAAGAACGCAGCCGTAGAGGTTGGGGATACCCAGTTATTACAACTACAGTTAGATTCTAACTGTAGTTGTTTGGTTTATGGTTTAGTGGGGACTGTTAGTGTTAGGTTAGAGGTTGGACTCGATGATCTTGAGGTCTCTTCCAACCTAGAAATTCTGTGATTCTGTGATTCATTTCCTCACCCCGGGCCTAATCAAGGAAAGACCCAGACCTGGCTCTCAAAGAGGGAAAGAAATCAGAAAGTGATGAATGAAGAGTGAAGCACAATTTAGACCTTATAGCCAAAATTACAACTGTGAGCTTGCAGTCAGGTACTACTGCTGGAGGCAGTGTTTCCACAGGTATTTCACTGGTCCCCCATTCTTGACATAGCTGAGAATCAGCTCCGAAATAGTGCCCAGGAGAAAACAGGGTTTTTCAAGTTTTGGCTTAAAATTGTCTACAGGCTTTAGTACGGTAGATATTTCCAAATTCCTATAGGAATCTTGAAAACAACATCCATCACAGAATCTGGCTGAAGAAAACGTATGTATTCCACACCATTAAACAAATCGACCAGGGAAGAGCAGTTGCAGGTTAAGCGTATAGAAAATGACTGGGTTTGAACACCGATGAACCATCTTCAGTTTATTTATGGAAGAGAGGAAGCTGTGCTTCGTAGGCCACCCTCGGGTGTCACACCAACACATAAATGTACGCTATTTATAGAATCCAAAGAACAGAGACCATATAAATACTTCATACAAGAGTGAAATCCAAGGAGCAGTTTACTATCCTCCGTTCCATTTACATATTTACCTTGGTTTCACATGTTCAATCTATTGACTGAATCTACCTTTTATCTAGAGAGTTATTACATCAGATATGTCACGCCATTCATTTACACCACATTTACAAACAAGCTTTTCAACTAAAAATAAATGTTTTATGACAAAAACACTGACCATGTGAAGGTCACCTGAGGTTTATGGGTACTTAGCCAGCTGGAGGTAGTACTTAGGTAGCTGGAGAAAATCCATTCCCAAACCAAATTGTAAAATTTACAATTGCATGTATGAACCAAACCATTTTTGTCAACTAGGTGCAATGATGTTGAGATCTGCTTTCATTTCTTTTTCAGCATTACAGAAAAGATATCTACAGACCAATAGTTATGATTCCAAATTTAAGATGAAATCCCCACTCTGCCATGAAATTCTGATTTTGCCATTTTAATAGAGCCTCAGTAACTTAAATGACTTCAGCTGAACCTTAAATTGCCTTCACAGTTCTCTTTTAGTTTCTTTAATCATGTTTCAGTCATTTATATTATGAGAACTGCTGAAGTATGTTCCATGTAAATTCAGACTTGGCCTTTTGTACAGATTCATAATTGGAGATGAACATTCAGGAGTGATATAAATAGCTATCACAACCTAATTGAGGACAGCCTCAGCGTAAAGAACTTAAAGATAAGAATGAGACTACACAGAGATCCTTAAACTTCTGATTTAAAGACTAATTAATACAATTTATTTTGAAAGAAAGAAGAGAGTGATAAGAAAGAAAAGGGTCTTCTGAAACAATTTCAAAGATTGCAGCTGAGAGAACTCTGTCACCTAGACAAAACAAATGGGGCTTTACAGTCAGGAGAGGAATTCAGTAAACATGAGGAGGGTGTCACTTGGCCAATTAGATCAGCCCAAACTGTAAAACCACAAAGGTCACGCCAATTATAATGACAGTGCTAGGAGAATTAATTTAAAACTTGAGAATTGATTTCCTCAAAGAAGCAAAAAGTGAAGAAAAGACAAGAAAGAAATTAACACCAGCAAAGACATACAAAATTTTAGGGAAGAGAAATAAAAGAGCACACATTAAACATGTTGTTAAAAAAAATAAGGAAAACCTAAAGAGTTCTGGAAATGCACATTTGCTCTGCAAGAGAGATTCATCGCTTACTGCTCTGACATCAAAGCCTTATCTCTCCTGAAGAAGATACACTTGAGAAGTTAATCTTAAGACTAGATGAAAACCGAGTTATTTTAACAGACAGAACACTTAGTGGATGAGAATTTCACTCCAGTTTCTTGCAAGCAAATTTTGAACTCTGAAAGGCAGAAATTCCTCATATCCATTAAGAATTACACACTTGGTGGCTGCTATTGATGTGGAAAGCGATAAGATGCTGCAGTGTAATGGTGTAATGTTGCACAGCAGGAGCACGAGGCTGATAGATTTGCTCCAACATTTTTATTTTTTTTTTTAAAGAACACTATTTTTTGAATGAAAAAACAGGTTGGTTAATTCCCAATATTTTTAATGACTTTTAAAAATAATGTTGCCAACTGTAAGCTACTTGTAATTCTGAGGAAGAAGAACAGAGTGTGATTTTATATGTGCTACAGAGGTCACTAGCTCTATCTGCAGACATCAGTTAGGCACAGCTCATCAAGATAGTCGGGTGGATGAGCAACAACCCAACAACCAGTGGGTGAGCTCTGGAGATCCACATCACTGCTTGCCTTTTAGGAATCTGACAAGAAGGCTTTTAGATATGTGAAAGAGGTTTTTTTTCTGGTAATTGAAGTGGTTTCAGAAAGTAGACTAGCAGAAGCCAGTGCTTTTATTGCCAGCAGAGAATCCTGGCTAAGCCTTAAGAGGTGACACTGAGAAAGTTAAGCTCGACAATGAGGAGACATAAGACCAGGGCAGCTCCAAAACAGTTGTGCCATGTCCGTCTGGGTCAATGAAGAATGCTCCATTTTCAGTGGACTGGAAGCATGATCAAAAGTGGTCGCTAGTGCTTGTGAGATCAAAGGCCACTTGGAAGAAGAGCTCCAGGGGGAGGTTCGTAAGGAGTAAGAGGAAATATTACTGTTATTTACTACAGCTATTGTTAGTTTCCAATAGAATTTCCAGCTCAAAATAAATCATATTTTGTGTTGGTGAACAACTGCTTCTGAAGGTGTCGTACCTACCCAGGCAAGACAGATAACACCAATATCAGACTAGTTGTGAGGTGAAGCAAAGAACTGAGCAGTATCATGACTCTGGGGTAATTTCAGACTATTAATTACAGCAACTCAATTGATTCAACACAGTTGTAATGGGTCTAGAAGGGATACAGCTAAATAGAAAATAAGATTAATTTTTTTTTTTTTACAGTTACTTGATTTTCAGAATTTCTTTAAGAAAAAAACAATAGACCAAGTGTCTCTAGTCAGATAGAAATGCGAGAGAACATCTCGTCTTACTCGTCTATACCTGACCTACATACTTCTAACATCTCTCTAACATTAAGCAACAAACATTAATACTTCAGAGCTTTTCTTTCAGAGAGAACATGCATCATACTGATATCACTGGGAGGTGGGCCTTTCTAATATGGCCTAAAGCTTACCAGGTACCTTTGGACTAGATGATCTCTGAAGGTCCCTTCCAACTGAACTATTCTATTCTTGCACCAGCGAGGCATAAACCTGAGTTTCAGTGAGTATTTGTGTGTCAAATGAAGAATAAAAAAAAAACAAACAAAAAAACCCCACCCAGTTATTGTAGCAAAGACCAGCTAATCTTATAGACCACTAGAAAGGGCAGTGGGTTGTGACATTCCAGAAATGCACTGGTCCAATATCCATGTCTAAGCTTACTGACTAAAGATGCAGAAATCTAAGATTTTACATCAGTTTTCAGTAAAAATATCAAGAGCGGATTTTTTTTTTTTTTTCAGGGGCAGAAGGTATTTTTAGACCTTTTTCTCCTTAAATAAATATTATAGAGGAAGAAGGGAAACTGAGAAGGGCTGGTGTAGAAGAGACTGCTGCATCAGCCTGAAAGGAGAGCGCTGAAGAAGGGTCGTGTTAGCAGCCTCCAAGTACACAAATGCTCTTCATCTGCTTCCAAATCCACAGCAGCTGCACAAAACACATTGGGCTTACACTGATTTAGGAGGATGGACTAGATAACCTCTCAACCCTCATCCCTATTATTTTCTATGAATCAGCAGAAAGTGAAACTCCCTTCTTGTGCAAATCTCAGTTATTGCAGCTCCAAACTCCCATTTTTCTTTTCAGGTGTCTGAATTACATAAACACAGGAATCTTATCCTTAGACATAAACCAGACCCAACACAATTACAACACAGATCAGTTATCAGCAGATTCTTGTTCCTGCCCCTATTGAGTTCACTAGAAGAGAAGTGCAAGCATAAAAAATACACAATGCAAGCCGCATCACATAAAAATAATAGTAATAATCGCTCTGGTGAATATGCTCATTGGGTTCAATCATGTGTAATTTTGCCATTTTTTTTTGTCATCAATGGAAGTCCATTTTGTTCATATATTATCCATGTGAGCCAGGAAGCTTTCCAGGAATCTAACAGTTACTGCAGACTCAAAGTCTCTAAAAGACCATTTACTTTGTGCCCAACTTCATCTTTATTCATCACACAGTACTCTATAATTACACACACTCAGAGATTTTAATAAACAGATTGTCACTGCCACAGCCATCTTCACCATATAAAAGATGTCTAGTCGAGCTGGCAAGCTTCCCTTTCCTTAGAGCTGCTTTTACTGTGCATTGAAAATGAGACTGTAGGACAGCAAAACCAGGTGAAACAGACTGTGTTGAACACATTCTGAACATAAAGCTTTGCTCCATCCTCCCTGACATTGCAAGCTTTACTTGGGCTGCACCACATGCTCATTCATGAAAGCCACTTTGTGATTATTTGTGGTGGTCCCAATTCAGCCTGAGCTGCTTTGTGGTGAAAGACAACCTGTCAGTTCCTTGGGCAAGCAAGACAACGGCCCCATAAATTATAAGCTCTCCAAAGTAAGCCACATACATGTTTCTTGTTTCAGCCTTGTCAGCCAAGCTGCAGAGATCTTTCACTCCCATTATTTGTAACTGCCTGGAAATCAGGAGAAACCGTCCATATGGGAAATTTGACAAAGCTGTCAATAACGCCTGTTTTACTGTAGATCTATGCCAAAAAACCTTCTGCTCATACAAAATTAGACAATGATTTTAATCTTTCCTTTACTTTCCCTTCTAAGTATTTTAGGAACAAAGAAATGAGCCTACAACTATGCAGGAATATAAGTCAAGGATGTATGCGTAAGGAAAGTATGGACAGTGCTACAGAACCAAACTAGCAATCAAAACACCATATCCATTACTGAGCCTCTGGGCACACATTTGATAGAAGCTACTTCTAGCAGCTTGCACATCTTGCACACAATTGATAATTGAATTGTGTGCCCCTAGTTTGGGGGTTTAGGTGGATTTAGTTTGGCATCTGTTTATCAACAATATATAGGGAAAACTGGAATAACTTATAGTCCCATAGTACTGCTATAAATGCAGAGTAATGCAAATTTAAACCAGTTTAAATGTACAAGTTTGCATCTGGGACATTGAATTCATTTATTGCATAGCTGTGCAGTTTATTTTTGAAGTATAACCCAGACTCTGTTAAAGTCAATAGGCATTTTACCACCTGCCTCAGCACAGCCCAGATTTTAGCCTTATGATATGTGCTTGCACAGCAGCAGGAGAGAAAAAAAAAAAAGAGACCAATAGGATGTTTTGCATTTCATATTCTTGGCCAAAATGGGACTTCTCACTGACACGCAGCTAGAGTGAAAGATGGGAAAATACTCCTCTTGTAAGTGCAGCTCTTTACCCAGAAGACTCCACAAAACCTAAGCCACTTACAAATTTAGTCCAGGATTGGAGATGACTTCCCTCTGGGCCGGTTTTGCATCTGCTTAGGACTGCAGAACATATATATCTGCCCTAACCAGACTATGGTACATTGAGGGGATTGTGATTTGTGTTAAGAGTAGACCTGAGGATGCATTGCTTGGCCTTCAGGTCTGTGCTGTCCTGCACACATCCCTTACACTTAAACACAGGCAGTTAAGGACAATGGAAAAGCCTGGAGATGGCACCTGCTTGGCACTGGTTGTGATGCCACCAGCATGTCACTTGGCTCTATCTTTAAAGGAAGCTGCATGCGTTACTTCTAGGAAAGTCCTATAAAAACTCTGAAGCACAGAGTGAGGGCAAACCTCATCCCAAATGGGAAGTCCATGCAGCATGCTGGGCCATAGGCGTAGGTTAGTCTGATGCTGCATCATCTCAGGGTTCCCAGCATCAGAAGGGACACAAGATTTTACAGCTTGCTGTCATTGCTTGTGCTGAAGCAGCACCTCCAGGTGCAAAACGATGTAGCGGCATGACTTCAACATCCTCACTTTCTCCTCCTACACTGCTGGGGGAACACCAGGGAAGCTAATTAGTGTCATTCAGCAGAAGCAAGAATAGGAGGATTTGAACCTAAACCCTGAAAAACGTCTGAGTTTTCAAGCAATTTTCCTACTTTATGTTATGTTTCCACCTACTTCTTTGAAAACGTTTATCCATCCAGCCAAAAATCCCACCCTGCATTTAGACAGTCAAAGGTACCGGTTTAGGCATGCTCGGGTTTGATAGCAGAGCTTTTCATGGAGTCAGGTTGCAGGCTGCAGCTGGGAGAGCTCTTCTGAACTACATCCTACCACATTATCAGCAGTGGGGAAATGGAAACAGGGCCTGTGCTTATTTCGGAGCACAGACAGGATCCTCTGTGTTTAAGTTGTCACTTGCAATGTGGGGGAGCGATGGCTTGGAGTTCAAAAGAGGAAAGGAGAAGTCAGAGGAAAATACGTCAGTGCACACCAAATTGACAGCAGACATACGCACACAGCATGCTCGTATCTTCCTTGATTGTAAGTTTAGCATCAGTGGTAGGGCACTTCAGTCTGCTGCATTTAAAATGCTTCCCCTGTATTTGGATATACATATGGGATGCTCGGAAGAGCTTTAAAGCAGGATTTAAGATTCTTTTTAAAAAGCATGTAGAGTATATCTGTTACTGCCCAGTTTTTATTTATGCCTTTTGCAGGGCAGCGCTGTGGCACAAAGTGTAAGGAGCCCTATTTTTGCTGATAAAGAGCCTGAGCAACAGTTCTTGCTTGCTTCTCAGCAAATAGGCCGATATCTACTCGTGGCTATAAAACCTGCCACGAACAGCAAACAGCTGGTCTGAGTTTATTGTCCTTCAATAGTCTGTATCTTGGAACAAACGGCTTTTCAAAGGCAGGAGTCTCAGGAAGATCTGGAGTCTTTAAAGCAGGCTTTTCCATTTTCTGTGTTAAACACAGCACTGCATTCCTGCCTTAAAAAAAAAACTTGTTAGCACAGCTGAGAAAAAAATGCTTGATAGAAAGGCATAAGCCATCAGCTCTAAAGATGGGATCAGCACAAAGCATATGGAACTGAATTAAGACAAGAAAGCTTCCAAAAACATTTAAGGGAGGCACTGATTTTCTGGTTTCACTCTTCCTTACAGGCCTGTCATGAGCCTTTTCTTTCTCATTTATTTTGTTTGCATATCTTTCATTAATTTCCTCTTTCCATCATGTAGATGTCTGCTAAGCTCCACGTTATTTGAACGCGTTTTCCTCTTTCTCTCCACCTAATTTTTCTTCTTCCATTTCCACTTTGTCCTTGCAACTTCAGATGTCATTAAGACTCCTTAAGACTTTATTCCTCCAGGCTGCTCATGCTCTGAAAAGGGAGAGCTGACAGCTCATTGTGCCCACAAGCTTCTTGCCCTGGGAGAAGGTGGATTTCTCCTCCCACCCTCCCCAAGGATGCTGAGAGCAGAGAGCCCTTATTCCCTTCTCCCCATTCTTGGGTCATTCTGTGTGGTCTCCACCACCTGGTAAATCCTCCCTCACTTGGCACCAAGGGCAGAGACACTTCTGTTCGCAGATGGTCAGAGGTAAAAAGCCAAGGCACGGTGGGATTAGAACTACCCCACTCCTTATATAACTATTATGAGATCTGAGTAATTGGTGCCACAAGAAGTCAGCCAGATGCCCCATGCCTCTTGTTTTCCAAAAGGGTTTCTGCTTGGGTGCTGAGCACAGCAACCCCATCTTCAAGCAGGAGCCTGGATTGTCAGGTTTCAGTGGAAAAACTACTGTAAAAATGTGCCTCCTGCCTCCTGGACTGACAGATAACAGCAGGCTAGGTGCAGAAACAAGCAGACACTGCGTGGCTCTGCTCTGTGCTCTTGCAGGACAAGAGGCAGCTCTTTCAGGTTTCCTAATCTCAGCCTCTCGCCACACACAGACACACGCGAGAAGTACCTGTAGGCTAACATCACTCGGTGACAGAAAGCAAAAGCTTTTATGCAGGGAGCATCAAACAGGGCATTATGCGATGTGACACAGCACACATGCCTGGGAGGAGAGGTCAGAGAAAGAAGCATGAGGCAGCTGAGGCTTGGTTCAGCCGTGCTTGGGTGCAGCCACACAGGGACTGCTTATGAGGCCTGCAATGGGCCAGAAGGAGGAGGAGGAGGAGAAGTCCCCCTCCAGGAGGGGAGATAAAGTCCTGCAGCCCCTCTCCCTGGGGGACAGGGCCTACAGGAGGACGTGTTTTGTTATGGTGACACTGCCAATCCACAGGTATGGCATTCACCCCCCTCGCTTTCTCCCTGCTCACAGCAAGTCACAGTATATACATATACACCTTCTCCTCCACCTTTCCTTCGACTTAATTTCCACGGTGATATCACCCTGGGGACTTCCTCCTCACAGGGGCGTACATCCCAGAAGTCTTAAAACTAAATCATTACATTCAGTACTAGGACACCAAGGAGGTGGGGCTGAGGTGAACGCAACCAGCTCAGAAGCCCTACACAGTGTCTCAGAACCCACTTTCCAGTTAGGAAACCGCACAAAGGTAGGCCTTCGCTCACTTGAAACACATTTGGTGTGCCTGGAGGAAGTTAAACCAGAAATATTCATAATTCTACAAATCTCAATGCTTCAGGGTCATCCTTGCAGTGCTCAGAGCATGAGGGTTTAGGCAGAACCAGCACGGGAACGGAGCTGTCGGCAAACTGAGTGAAGAATGCATTTTATATAATCTCCAAAATTGGGGATCATAAAACTGACAGGAGATGAAGACCCACAGTGCTAAAAATAAGGCATTCTCAAACCCTTTGAGGTTCAGATGTATATTTGAAAAGCCTTAAAAAAAAAAAAACTAAGCTTGTGATTTCCTTCTTTATCTGTAATTCCTATTATTTATGGAATATCGTAATTTACTTTTCAAAATCTTGTTACCTCGTGAACACAGCTGAATCTGAGGTTACCCCACTGAGACGTTGCTAACATACAAACGCCTCCAAATCTCAGAGATTCCAGATGTAGCAATTCATCTTCGTCACCATGGTTCATTCAAAGCCTGCCTGTCTCCTCCTGAAAGTGGGGCCTTCCCCCTCTCTTCATGATAGACACCAACAATCATCGTTGAAACAAAGACTGTTTTGAGGCCAAAAGTGGCCTGGGCCTCCGGAAATCTGCATTTATATTCTGCGCTATTACAGGTCATCTTTGTAACATTGGGCAAATCATTTGATCTTTCCTTGGCCCATTTTCCTTCTCTGAACAGAAGAGAATAATATTTCCATACCTCACAGAAGAGTTATGAGCATAAATTAATTCATATTTATGAGGTACTGAAGGGATTCTGATGAGTACCATAAAAAGGCTGACATATATAAAACCCTCTCTGTGTTCTGGCTTTCCACTGATATAGCTGTTTTCCTCTACTCCTTAAAGCAAGGACTTCTGTTCCCAGAGTAATATTTTTCACTTGTGACACTTCTTGATTTTACCTCAGAACAATAAGTACTTGTACGCTGCAGTTGCAGCGATTATTTTTATGCATGATGTGCTATATATGAGACTTTGTGTCCTTTATAGCCAAATAGAACAGAAGAGTTTCTTTTAAGATTTATTTTTAAAGACTGTGAAAAAGCACCAGGCTTGCAGCTGACAAGGCTGAAGCGTGGCACCTTTACACAATAAAACAGAGGGAGGAGGGGAAACAAAAGAGCACTGCTTATGATTGCCATTCAGTCCTAGGGGGACTCACGGTGAGACAGCAGAACAAGAGCCAGGATGTATAACCTACACCTCCAAAACACAAGTTTGTAGGGGGTCACTGGTTATTTTTCAAGCTTCAGGTGAGAACCTACATATAAACAAACCAGGCTGAGGAAGCTGAGAAGCCAATCTTCTGTTCTTAACCTTTGCACTTGAACCACATCATTGGCACACAAGCTAAGAAATCCTTAGCAGAACCCACCACACAGGTATTTATCCCCTCTGGCAATTTGGGCAGGCATCTATTTGTCCTACCTGAAGATGGGGCTGCCCTCAAGGGGAGCAAGCAACCCTGGTGTCTCTGCCTTTTCCAGCTCCCAACACCTGAGCAGTGCTGGGACAGATCCCATTTTCTGCCCCTTGTCACAAGGGCATGGGCTGTCAGCCTCACCTGAGCACTACTATTTCAGCCAATTCTCACAGAAGAGCAGCCACACATTATGGTCAAGAAGATCTCAGAAATAGGAAGCAATGTCATCTGCTTATGGTCAGTGCATTGCTATGGGATCTGATTAAATCGTGTCACTGTTATGTTGGGTCAGAAGAGGGACTTGGGAAGCATTACAAAAGTGTTAAAGGTGTTGTAAAAAGTTTATTCTCCTAACAAAAAAAGTTATCAGCTTTGCAAAGGATATGACACATGCAAATTACGCTTTTTGTTGCCTGAATGTAGTTACCTGTAAATGCCTATTTATGGTGAGACCCAGGCATTATAGCAGTTTGAAGTAGTACTGCATAGCTAAGTTCACACAGGTATATGAAAGCCTTCAAAAAGATGCAGAAAGAAGTCTGACTGCTATGTAAATCAGCTTTAAAACAACTCGAGAAAAAGCAATTCAAAGTATTAGGAATAATAGGAAGCTGCATGACACCGTTCAGACAAGAAGATTGTCTGAGACTGAGTCTGGTAGCAAGTAGGACTCAGTCAGAGCTCCGATTATCCTCGCCTCCGAATGTCATTGAGCCTGAAGAGAGAGCGCCAAGGAAGAGAGAAGCATTTTAAGCCATATACTGCCACTTGCAGGTCAAAGTCAGTCCATGTCAGGATAGAAGCACACATATGCCTGCACGTGTAATGCAGAGTCTCAGTGAGGGATTTGACAAGTGCACTCTGGAAGAATTTGACATCTCCAGAGAGCAAGTTTGGACAAAGCTAGCCTTGCTGCCTGTGAGGAAGCCTTTAGCAGCAAGCACATCTCAGTAGCTGGGATTGTGTTTGGCTTACCGGCAGCTGAGAAGGATATCCAGATTTTCAAAGCCCTGACAAGAACATAGAAATATCCACATGTGGAGAACATGCTCTCGAATAACCCAAACTGATGACAGCAGATTCAGTTTGGGACTGCACCAGGGTAAGTCATGGCCTTTGGGAAAGGCGCACATGCATTTAGACAATCTTGGTCCCACTTTGTGGGATCTCTTGCTCTTGGTGCACATCCACACTGCCATAGCAGAGCTCACACTGCACCAAGCACCTGCTTTTCTTAAGCAGCAGCTGTGAGGCTGCCTGTGCCATGGGCTTTGCCATGGAGAAGCAGAAGTTCAGGCTGTGGAAGGCTCCAGGCGCTGTGTGCAGTTGAAGCAAGAGAGGACAAGCAGTCAGAGAGGGGAGGGAGGGCAGGAGACCTGCCATTCCCAGCCCACCACAATGCCTGGAGGCTCAGAAGCTGGCAGAAGGGCCAGGGTGACACTAGTTCAGCACGTCCCACTTGGCACAGTCCCCAGGGTGAGGTCCAGCAGCATCACCTTGGGCAGCACTTTACAGCTGCTGGCTGCATTTGAAGGAAGGATGGCTGGTGCTCCAGTGCTCTCCAGGCCTCGAGAAACAAAACCCAGCAATGCTCACCTCCAGGTCCTCATCGCAACGCCTATTTGAAGGGAATTCAAAGGCATCCTGCCATTTTAGAGGGAGGCAGGGAGAAAACTAAGTTTCATGCAACAACATATGCAAGAGGTGGCCCCCACCTCGCAGCAGGGGTGCATTCCTGCTGACATTTTAAATTAGTAATTCATCAGCAGGGCCTGAATTACCTTGTAAATATCATATTACTGCATAGCCATATTATGCCTGCATGATTTCATCACAATAGCATCCCAGTCATAATTTTGGCTGCTGTAAAAAATAAAAGCAGTAAGAAGTGTGAGGTTATGAAGGCATTAATTGCTTTCCTTCCAGGCAGCAGAGTGGCCATGCCCTGCACTCCTGCAGCAC